TGAGAAGTTCATCTCTCCTGCATCCCCTGTGTTTCCAGTTCCTATCTGTACCAGTGTACATCCTCTGGTCAAGCTGGATATATAAGGTAGAATTGGGATCATGATAGTGGGAGGGAAGAAGCATTAAAGAACTAGATGAAAGTTGTGTGTTTCATCGTTGCTACACTGCACCTTGACTGGCTTGTCTCTTCCCCATGACCCTTTTGTAAGGGGATGTCCAGTTGCCTATAGATGGGCTTTGGGTCCCCACTCTTCACTGCCCCTCATTCACAATGAGACAATATTTTGTTCTGGGCCTTTGATGCCTGATAACTGATCCCATCGACACCTCGTGATCACACAGGCTGGTGTGCTTCTTCCATGTGGACTTTGTTGCTTTTGAGCTAGATGGCCGCTTGTTTACCTTCAAGCCTTTAAGACCCCAGACGCTATATCTTTTGATAGCTGGGAACCATCTGCTTTCACCACATTTACTTATGCACTTGGTTTGTCTTCAGCGATTGTGTCGGGAAGGTGAGCATCATGGAATGCCAGTTTAATAGAACAAAGTGTTCTTGCATTGAGGGATTACTTGAGGAGAGGCCCAATGTCCATCTGCTACCTTAATACTAAACCTATAAATATATGTACATAATCTATTTCCCCATTGTCATATATAAATATATTAATATATGTACATGCCTGTATTTAGACCTCTATAAATGCCCTTTGCCTCCTAGTTCTTTCCTCTATTTCCTTTGACTTTCCTCTTGTCCCACTATCATGCTTCAGCCTTCATTTGGGTTTCAGTAATTCCTCTAGGTTACGTTGCCCTTGATCATGCCCTACCAGGCCTCTTAAAGCCTCCTCTCCACCAATTTTGGATAACTGTTCCCTTGTACCTGGTTTTGTTAATACCACTTCCTTTCCCCCACCACTCCCTCTCCCATGTCTCCCCAGAACCCTCAGTCCCATTGTTTTCTCCCCCAGCATGTTTACCCCACCTATCTTTCCTAGCTAGACCTGCAGAGATAATAATATGCACAAAAAAAAAGACAGAGCAAAAGAAAACCAAACAACAACAAAAAGCCTGTAAGTAATTCAAGGTCTGTTTGTTAACATTTAGGAGTGTTTTCTGGTAGAGTCTGGTGGGGTGCCACACCCTGGCCCCAAAGTCTTATTTTTGGTATTTCCTCAGGACTTCCTTGCTCTGCTCCCCTTGCTGTTCTATTACATGCCCTTAGTGTTTTGACTTGGTGTGGTGGGGTCAGATTGGGCTCAAGTCCCACCCTGTGTTTCTAGTGTTGTGCCCTGTAGGGCTATAGGTCAGTGAGGGATGTCGTGTGTCGTAGTAGGGCTGGTCATATGGTCCTCTCTGTGCATTGGCTGCTCTGAGCAGGAACATCGTCCTCAAGGCTTGGTGGGCCAGGATGTGCTCCACTCTCTCTTCCTCCCCCTTCATTTGCTCCCGTGTACTTTGATCAGACATGTCCCTCTCCCTGAGCTGTAGTTTCAGTGCTGCCCTCTGAAGTAAATTCTTCTGGGGGGAGGGCCGGCCATAGCCTTTGTTAGTTAGTCCTACCAAAGAACCTTCCGTTTTCTTGATGCGACTGGGTAAGGTGGTGGGGGAGGTACTGATTGGATAATGAATCAGCTGTGAGCGATGAACAGGGTTACTGCCATTGTCATCTGCTGGGTCTAAAATGAGTACCCTAAAAACAGGAAGGAGGTGTCTCACTACCAGTAAGGAAGAAGTGCCAGGAGTCGATGCTGCTTTGCTTGCCCAAGATCCCTGTGCATTGAACCTTCTGGATCCAGGAGACAGTTTCAACAGCAGAGGAGCTAGGGTCAGAGGAGCAGCAAGGCACGAACAAGAGCTGGAGCGTGATACAGAGCAGTAGGCTGCCCTGACCATAGAGCACGCAAAGTTGAGTGCTTTTGGCCAAGAGGCCAGTTTATAGAGTGGGGAGCCAAACAAACCTAACGGAGCTCCGCTCTGCTCTGTAATCCATGGGATGGGCATGAGTGAAAATCGACTCTGACAATGGGCTGTGCAGCCCTGGTGGCAGCAGGAATTGAGGGGGTGGCGGTGTTGGCCTTCAGGGCTGGCAGTCTAAAGTGCTTTGACCAGCGTCCAGTGACCTGATGGCTGGAGCTACCAAAATGGAAGCCCTGGCCCCCCGCAGGCTGCCCTAGTGAGGTGTAGGGATGCTGTGAGAGGAGGTGTCCTTTAGGCATTTGACCAGAAGAGTGCCTCCTCCTGGGGGGACGGCAAAAAAAATCTTGATTCTATAGATGGACACCATGGCTCTCACAATGTGGGTTGGAACTGATGGGAAGGCATCCTACAACAGAACAATTTGGGGGAAAGACATAGGCTTCTAGATTGCGTACCTATCTTTCATCTCTTCTTTCACTTCAGTGTGTCATGCATAAACATGAATTGGTACTTGCTCGGGCATTCAAAATACGTATCGTTTTAAAAGAATCTGGCTGTTCCTGCTGCAGTTTTGGGGGCTTGTAAACATAACCCTCTGGATGTGACATAGTAATCATTTTTCACAGCAACGGATTTTAGAAGTATTTTCTCTCACCGGCCAGGACATACAGGCGCGCAGGAGAATAGATGAATGGTGGATCAGGTGAACACATCGTTGTCATTTAGTGTCCAAAGAAGAGCTGTTAGGCTCTCACGCATGGTCATGCATGTGGGGAAATTACCCTCTCTCTTCTCAGGTCTCTTACATAGGGCTTCTCTGAGCTTACCGAGTAACTTTCCCTCACCACCCACACCCAGCACATGGAAAATGCTGGCTTAGTGGAATTTGCTCAAGGTCATAAAATACATAAATGTTGTGATTGGGAATACACAGCCCCCCGTCTCGTTTTTCCAGGTGCTGCAGCTATAGACGACAGCAACGACAAGCCGGTCCAAACATACACTTGTACGTGTGTCCTGATGTGCACCCTAAGAAGAAATCCACTTGCATCAATATCGCTCGTATCTCCTTGTAAAATCTAGGTAATGTATCATGTGGAGGGGATCTTTAGTATTTGAAGATAAATTGCAAACTATACATGAAGTGAATCTGGTCCAACTTCTCCAGTTTTCTCATCGTAAAAGTGTCAGCGTAGTAGCAGTCGTTGTCACCGCTGTCTTGTTTCTTGTTAAACTGTGACACCACCATGCACTCCTCTCGGTGCCCCCCCCACCCCCACCCCTGCTCTGATTTTCATGATCTCATAGGGAATAAAACCAGGGGCAGGGGAATGATAGATTTATCGTAACTGAAACTTTAAAGAACACTCAAAAATATTTGAAAATTTTGTCAAGATGCAGAATTCTGAGGAAATTGATCCCTAAACTGTGACAATAGCATTTGTTTAAAGGAAGCCATCTTTCTAGTCATTTTAAATATTAATGAAGATTTGGTTCCAATCTTTTTATAAGTTCGGTGGTCTGAACTTTCCCCTTCACTCTGCAAAAATTCAAGCAAGTCCTAATTTTTTCCAGCCACTCTTGGATAAGAAAATCCCTCCATAAGCTTAATAATAATAATCAGTTTAATTTACTTTCAAAATGTGCCTAGCTTTATTAGAGATACTTCATCTAAACAATTATAATGTTTCAGCCATGATATAGGCAATTGCTAATAATACGCAACAGCTTCCAGAATCCCTTCAATGGACTACTGAAATCCAGAAAGCCATTATAAAACCCGATGGAGTCTTTCCTTGATGGTCAGACCAGGGAAAGTTTATAGCGGCAAAGGCTGCTATTTCACATTTATCAGGTTATGGAACTTCATGACATTTTCCATACCAAGATGGTCCATGTGTGTCAACGTCGGGGAACCCCTCCTCCTGAGAACGAAGATGAAGTCCCTCAAAACTTGAAGTGTTTTCTTCAACATCAATCTTCAGAGAG